CCCCCACCACGCCCACCCCGCACACTCACACACACACACACGAAAAGGGAAAAATATCCCTCAATGACTGAGACATTTGTTAATAAGCTAAGGGAATTGTAAGTCTAATTACCAAAAATATAAAAGCAAGGAAGAAGGTATTAGAAATGCAACAGTGTTTGTTAAGGCAAATTTTGTTGAAAAACAAAACAGAAGATCCATCTTCAAAACTTTTAATTTTCAACCAAGAAGCAGCTATTCTTGAAGCTGGCATGATAGCTCAGTCAGTATATTGCTTGTCTTGCAAGCATAAGGCCCTGAGTTTATGCCTAGAACACATAAAAATGCTAAGTGTGGCAGCTTATGGTTATAACCCCAAACTAGAGAGTTAGAGACAACAGATCACAGGACTCCCTGGCCAGCCAGCATAGTTTACTTAGCAAGCTCACGGCCAGTAATCAATCCTTTCAATAAAAACAAGTTGGACAGTGCCTGAGGGACCACCTCTATGGTTGACCTCTGGCCTCCACTTACATGCAAATACATACTGTGCATAAGGACAAGGACAGATACACACAGAGAAGCAATTTTTTAACCTTCAAAGGACAGGAGTCTTCTGCCTCTTTGACTGCAGAGAAATGTAAGGCATATCACAGGCCAGCCCAACCCAATTTGAGATGAAATGATCCACAGTGTCAGGTTGCAATTTGGAAACAAAGGGAGAGATTTGATCATCTGGGGCAGTACTCATTTCTACTTGAGGAAAAAGAAAACAAAGCACTTTCAAGAACTGTCCTTAGCTATTAAAAGTGAGATGATTGCCTGCCCTTCAAAGATGTTTTGTATTATTTTTCGCTAATGACGTTTTGAAGTACTATATTAAATCCCTGCCAGAGCCTTGCTCTCAGCAGTGACGACGTGGGGGACTCTAACAAGCATGACCCCAGTCTCTTACCCAGATTGGACTCATTCATTAACCAGTGTCATGGCCAATTCCCACCTGAGATCCACGGGAGAGTTTTCTGCAGCTGTTAGTTAAGTTTGCCTTTGCAATGATTTCCATTATTTCTGGAGGTCTGCCTGCAATGGTTTAAATACACACAGAACAAGAAGCAGGTGTGGGCTGCCACTCACCAAAAGAGCCCAGAAGAGGTCCCTAGTCAGCTCCCAGGAAAGACTGGTACTGGGAAGGCCTTGTAAGGCTATTTGAATTGGAATTCCCTCAGTCACAGGTGAACCTGAAAACTAACTTCAGGAATGTTTCTTCAGAATTTAGAGGCACTCCTACTTTCTAATTTTGTCAACACTGAGTCATTCTGATGGCCAGATAAAATTGGGGCCCAAAGGTCTTACTGAAATATTGTTAAAGGGCATTTTTCAGGAAGAAAAAAAAAATGAACCAAAACAAAATGAAGGATTTAGCGATAGACCATCAGAAAATGTGGGAACAAATCAAAATATAAACAGTAGTGATAACTTTGAGTTTATAAGGGCTTAATCAAATTTTAAATTGATAACAAGATGAACCGAAGAAATTCGGAAAAATTCAAATGTGGTAAAAGTTTTTCTTTCTTTTTTTCTTATTCTCATTTACACAATAAGTGTTAATAAAGATATAGTATTTGGATCTCAGGCACATAGAGTAGACCAGCATTGACATGCTGGCACAGGCTCTCAGGTGTGTTCATGGTGACAAACATAATAACGAAGCTAGGCTGCCCTGGACTCGGGTGATAGAATAAGCAGTTTGCACTCATTCTGAGGTCAGGAAAGCACCAGAACCAAGACTCCACAGGCCATGTGCCCTGGGCCAGCTTTATTAGGTTCCTACAGCGAGACCAAAAGTTCTGAAGAGATAGTTTCAAATGGAAAGCGACATGAACAAGACCTAGCCTGGTTCCATGTGTGCTCAGGGTGCCCATGCCAGGATAAAACAGGTTGTCCTTGGCAAGTGTGAAAAGCACAGCACAAGGTGATTTTGTTTGTGCATTTGGTTTCTGTTTTGTTTTTGAGATAGGATCTCTCATAGCCCAGGCTGGCCTCCAACTCTCTATGTAGCCTAAGGTGAAACTTACCTTCTGATCCTGCCTTCTCCACCTCTGGTGTAGTAGAATGACAAGAGTGTACCCAGAAACCCAGTATGTGTAGTACTGGAGATCAACAAAGGGTCTCTTAGATGCTGGGAAAGCAACCTATCAACTGAGCTACATGCCCAGCCCCAGAGTGCTGTTTTGTTCTTGGGTTTTGTTTTGTTTATGAAATCTTCTAAGTAATTAAATGTCTAAAAAAAATTTTTAAAAGTTTACTTATTTAACCAATACTGTCTTAGTATATGAGATTAGTGAGGTACAAATACAAAGGGGAAATTGAACCATCTTCAAACTCTCAGTCTTAAAGAGAAAATGGAGTTCCAAGTGGGGCAGAGAGGCTGAGCAGAAAAGCTGACCCAGCAGTAGTCACCTTCTGTTGGGAGTGGGCAGAGGCCTACCAGGTAAGGACTGCAGAAAAGCTCCCCCCACCCTTGCCATCTTCTGCATTCCTGTTCCCCTTCATCAGAAGGAGTATCACCTGGAAGCTCAGTAGGCCCCAACCCCACCCCAGTTTCTATTTGAGTCACCTGAAGTAAGGGCCAAACTTTGCATTTCAAACAAGTCCCCAGGTGATTCTGGTGCTTTGATCTCGGGATGGCCCCTTTAACCTGTGTCCCAAGGGGAGAAGAAAAACTGGGCAATGGGAGACAGTCTATCAGCCGGCCACAAAGAAGAGACAGGGCACTCAAAGGCATGTGACCACAGCATGCTTAAAATAGGCAAATACTGAAAACAAGATAGATCAGGATAAGACATATGTTATGTCAGATGCCCCGAGACATCCATATAACCCCAGCGAGCTCAGTAAAACTGAGAAAATGCAGAGGCTCTAAGCTGAAAGTGATCACCTTTCCCCCAATTCCCTATCCTTGAACCATCCCTAATTCACCAACTTTAGTCCCAACCTACTCAGTGGCCATTGGATGAAAAATAGTCCCCTCCCTCAAAAAAAAAAAGAAAAAAAAAAGAAATTACAATCCCCTCAGTGCAGTCAAGGGTGGAAATTTCAACAGAGAAATGACACTTTCATTTTTATTTTTATTTCTCTCTTCCCCTACCCCCACTAACATATAAGCTAACATATAATTGCTCCACGCTCCATGAAGATAGGTTGAATCCTGGAGTGCAAAGACTCGGAATGTGGCCTTCCTTATTTGGAAATAGGGTTTTAATACATATTCAAACAAAAACTAAAATCATCACAGTAGATCTTAATCCAATATGACCAATGTCCACAGTTTCTTTTAAGACCATTTGGAACTAGAGACAAACACAGATGGACAGTATGAAGACACACAGGGAGTATGGCATGTGAGACAAGAGATGGGAGCCAATGTCTGCAAGGACAGCCAAGGGCTACTGGCAGCTAGGGAGAGCTGGGAGACACAGAAGCAACCTCTCCTCAGTAGTTCATTGTGGCCCTGCAGACACCTTGAGCTCACACCCTTAGTGTCTGTCCTAGAGGACATGCCAAGTAACTGTTGTTCTGAATCCCCTAAGGGGTGGCCCCACTCTCTCTCTCTCTTACACACACACCCCTTGACATCAGACATATTAAACATGAGATCTCTATATTGTCCTCCTACATTAAATAGCCTTTGTATTTAGAGAAATGGGCTATTTTTCTCAAACTACAATGGCAGGGAGAGAGCTAGAGACAGATCTATTTGATTTTGAGAAAATGGTAAAGAATACAAATAGAGTCCCTGATTCCTTGGGGAATACATATAAAATTAACTGTTACTACTCAAAACCACATGAATAGCTTGGCCGTGTTGTAGTCACACCTGCCAATCAGGTGTCTATGAGCCAAATGTAAATTATTTTAACTCTCTAGGGTTAAGGGTCTTTCCCTTCCTGTTAGTGTTTTAAATGTCACATTTAGAAACTGTGATAATTGCCTGCTTGTATGACAATAAAAGGAATGCTGGGAGATAGTCCATTGGTTGATGGTGCTCAGATTATAGAACCATGATGGGATTATCTCTGAATACAAGGCAAAGTTCTAAACCAACTTGACTCAGGAATCAGGTTTAAGGGGTCCTGGGATTTAGAACCAACTGTAGAGTGACTTCCAATTAAATGTTAGAACCAGAGGGGAAAGGAAGATGGGCCATTAAAGAAGCTAACCTCAGCTCAAGGACATTGTCTGCACTCTCCCTACTTGGCCAAGTAGGGTGCCCTATATTGACCTAAATCTCTCATGGCATCCTTAAGAACTGTACTGCCCTGACAATCATTCTCATTTTTCTAGATAGGAATCCCAAAATTCAGAGAGGCAGTAAGATACCCATTTCCAGTTCCCAGTTCCCAGTTCCCTTCACTCATCACTCACCAGGGACCAGTGCAGCTAGGATCCTCACTCAAATATGCCAAGTTCTAGAAGGTGCTCGGTCTCTTTCTTCTGAAGACAAACTAGCAGAACAAGTGCTACACACAGCTAACCCGAGAAGCCTGCTTTTGGCCAAAGGGAACATGTAGGTCCAGCTCTGGAACCTAGGAGATTAAATATTTAATGGGATTCATCTGTAGACTGTGCCCCCAGAAGGAAGAAATCACACTTTTCAAAGTCTCTCCACCTGCAGGCTGTAAAGATATTGGCATCAAACGAAGCTTTCCTCACACATATAAAGAGCTCTCCACTCTTGGTGGATGTAAGCTAGTGGAGGAGAAGAATGACTAGCAAAACTCTAAGTAGCACTTTGTGGCTCCTTCCAGGCATTTTCCTGTGTTTCCCATTCTGTCCTCCTTTGAGTGGGCAGCATGTGACTGAGCTTCCAGGTATGCTCCACTGTGGGCTAAGGAGCTTCCAGTTTACTGTGAACCTCAGTCTGGAGGCAGGGAGTCCTATGCTAACAACTTGGGGTAAGTCAGACTCAACCAGGTACCTACTCTTAAACTTCCTGTCTTGACCCTTTCCTTCTTCTAAAATCTCCACAGTCCCTACCTACAGAATGAATAGTCAAAACTGTGCCACTTCCCCAAACCCACCTTATCTTGTATTTTACATAATAGTGAAGTCTAGGGTCAAGTGGCGGGGCTGGTTGTTCTCTGATGACGAACCTCTGTGCTTTTCATGTTCCAACTACCCTAGATAGCCAAGGGCTGCCACACAGGCTAAAGAATGACTCCGACTGTGGTACGTGGGTGATGGACAGTCCTGATGGCTCTTTGGTGTTAGAAGCTACCTACAATGGCTGCTATGTCACTATGAGCGTAAGTAGACCCCGGCTATCAGACGAGAGTCCGTCTTACCACCCACAGTTAGGCTGATCACTATTGCTTGTCTCTTCAGGGCTCCCACTATGCCATGGAAGTTGGAGTGCAGGAGGTGAATGTAACTGGACATATGGCAGGGTCAAGGAAGAGACTGCTTAAATGTCCTTTGGATCTTCAAGGTAAGTGGAGAAAGCATTGGGGCTAGGGGAGGGTCCTGCCTAAAAGGTGCTCTCGGGCTACTCTTGTCTACTCCAGGTAGCATCAACAACTGACCCTAAGAAGGACTCTTCCCCTCCAAGTCAGTCCTTAAGAAAATTAACTGTAGGGAGACTCCAGCTGAGGCTGGGTATGTTAGACAAGTCGCCTGATTTCCTGACCCAGGGCTCTAGGTTCTCTTTGGGCCTCTCACCAAGCAGCTTTGCCTGTGATTTGCAAAGTTGGAATTTAAACGAGAACTAACTCTTGCTGGAACCAGGAGCCTCCTTGCCTTTTGGAACGGGTGGAAAACACAAGCTAGCAATAGGAATTAGCCAGAGAAGCTATCTCCTGCTACAGTCTTCCGCCTGCAGCTGGGGATACTTGATCACTCAACTAGGAAACCCGAAGCAATTCTTCCCTGGTGGTCTGAGAACCCTTTATCCTGATTAGGACAGACTCAAACTTAATTCTCTCTTGCCGCTATCTGGTTACCCATATGTAACAGGGATTGGTGGTGCATATCAAATGAGTCCCAGGCTATGCTAATATGGAAGTCCTATGACTTGTAAAGTTCCTGTGGGATCACCCATGACAAATCTTAAGTCCCTCTAAAGAGACAGAAAGGTACTCATTAGAAGCCATGTGAAGAGTCCCCCTGATCCTACACACACTGAGAGAATGTTTTCCTCAGTAGGGATCCCATTTTGGGAGACTGACAAGGTGACTTAACATTGCTCTTCCTTTGGGATTTAATCTACAGTGGGTAGAGTCAACAGGCCTATTGAGGCGGTCTGGATGTTTGAGATTCAAAGCCCAGGCTTATGACAAGGTGGCTTACTGAAGGACCACCCTGCTGTCTAGCCTGAGTTCCCCTTCCCTTCTCAATGTCCAGCCCAAAACACTCTGAATACTGAAGTGTGCAATCCTGTGCCAGTAAAAGAAAGGCTTCCCTGTGCTCCCTTGCCCGTCTCTCGAGGAGACTGTGACAAGCTGGGTTGCTGCTACATCTCTGAAGAGGAAGAAGTGGGCTACTGTTACTATGGAAACACAGGTACATGCTTCCTTCTCAAATCAGTTGAGAAAAAGGAGCTTAATGACTTCTGGTGACACCAGGACAGGGAAAGCTTTCTTCAGCCAGCAAATGAAAAGCAAATGCTTGGCAATGAATGGGCAATGCAGCCTAGAACTAGAACTTCCTATATAGCCTTCCAGTAAATCTCCTAGAAGTCAAACATAAAGGAAACCTGCAGGAACGCTAAGAAATTAAATTTGGGACAGGTACTTACTAATTGGTAAACTTGTTTTCTCACGGAGCACTCACTTAGGTAGCTGGGTAGTCTTAAGACTGTGTTTAGAGAGAATCACCCCCCCACGTGATTATTCACATGCCCCATATCAAGCTTGAAGATTTTCTAGCACATTAAACACCCAAAGCCCAGCTGTAAGTAGTAGATGAAGGTGTTCACAGCCAGCCCTACAAATGCACATGTAGCTAAATAACAGCCTTGCCTCAGGGCTCTAGGTTCTGTTGTGCCTCTCATCAAGAGCTTTTCACCAAGCAGCTTCGCCTGTGATTTGCAAAGTTAGAATTTAAATGAGAACTAACTTTTGCTGGAACCACAGGCCTTTTCACATTTTGGAAGGGGTGGAAAACACAAGCCAGCCATAGGAAGTGAAGGCATCTCCTGCAGCTGGGGACACTAGACCATGTAACTAGGAAACCTGAGGCAAGGTCCTAGGGAACATAGTCATTGGAAGCCTGTTGCCAGGTCATCAGTGTTTCCAACCTCACTGTGGCTCCATCTCAGGAGTGACCTGACCCCACCCATCTCTGTTTCAGTGACCTCCCAGTGTACCAGAGAGGGTCGCTTCTCCATTGCTGTGTCCAGGAATGTGACCTCACCACCCCTGAACTTGGATTCACTGCACTTGATCATCAGGAGTGACAGTGGATGTGACCCTATAATGGCAACGCCCACCTTTGCCTTGTTCCAATTTCCATTTACTTCCTGTGGGACCACAAGGCGGGTGAGAAGACTGCCTTGGGGGATGGGGGTAGAAGCACTGCCCTAGCAATTAGGAGATAAGTTGAGATCTTATAGTCAGGAAGACCAGTCCTGACCACTGCCTGGAGTCTAGAACAGTCTCTGGGGCAAAGGGCCTTGCTTAGTGGATACTTCTGCTGTGGTCCAGCCTTTCCTCCAGCATTCTATAGGGAACAAATATAAGGAGACTCATCACACTCCAGGATCTATGGTAATCATAAGGAGGATGCTGACTTGGATGGGGTGGTCCATTTGCCTAATCTCAGTACTTAATTATCTCATTCCTTGGTTCTGCATCAAACATAAGCCATACTTTTCAAGTTATTCACCAACAGGACCCTCTGCCTCTCTGTAGGAGATAATAATAGAATACAAAATAGGATGTGACTAAGAACTTGGTCTGGGCAACAGATTAAAGTGACGATTTCTCTTTATCCATTGGACAGGTCATTGGAGACCAGGTCGTGTATGAAAATGAGCTATTGGCCACTCAGGAAGTGAGAACTTGGGGTAGTGGCTCTATTACCCGAGACAGCATCTTCAGGTAGAATCAATTTTGACCAGAATGGCCAGTAGTGTAGGCCTTTTCTTCACAAAGCAAGACCCCTGGGGGTAAACTAAGCCCACAGGAGAACACTTCTCAGCAATGGGTGAATCTGACTGCTTCCTTGGCTTGCCACTCATGTAGACCACTGCATAATTGGGGTCTCTGCTCCCAACTTGATCTCATCTTTGTATTCCTTCTACCTCGTGGAGATAATGTCTCTTACCTGGGCCTCCTCCTTTTTACCTTGTCTAGGTTTCGGCTGAAAGAATTCCTTTAGACCTGACTCTCCAGCTCTCACACTTGAGCTTCATTGCTGTAGATTAAAACAAATGTACTATGGTTGCCTTGAGAGCCCTGTGAGATAACACCTGTGTTCTCCTCTCTGATCACTTGATGCTCTCAACCTTTCCAACCTTAGGCTTGTCCTTGCATGGAGCCTCCATGGGGCACCTCTCACCTGGGCTTCTTGACAACCATGTTCACTCTTCATATTTGCTCACCTGTGAAGACAGCTTTGCACTAGTCGCCCATTTCATGCAGTACACTTGTCTTTGTTTTTGTTTTTTGTTTTGTTTTTTTGGTGTGTGTGTGTTGGGGGGCGGTGGCATTGAGTTTTCTCTGTAGCTTTTCGAGGCTGTCCTGTCCTGGAACTGGCTCTGTAGACCATACTGGCCTTGAACTCAGAGTTCCGCCTGCCTCTGTCTCCCAAGTGCTGGGATTAGAGGTAATGCATCACCACTCCTGACTAGCACACTTGTTTCTTATGTAGTTTTCTCACCAACTCGCATATGGTCCTATTCAAATAGTAACAACAGAAAAATAGCTCTAAGGCCAGAAACCACCTCTGATTTAGTTATGAACTTGAATGTGACCTACCACTTGATCATCTGGAGTTCAAATTAGCAGGAGAGGCCAGCACACCCATGCTACTAAAAATCTTTTTTCCTGCAGGCTCCAAGTCAGCTGCAGTTACTCTGTTTTCAGCAACACATCCCCAATTAACATGCAAGTGCTGACTCTCCCACCACCCCTTCCTAAGACCCAGACTGGGCCCCTCTCTCTGGAGCTTCAGATTGCCAAGGGTAAGCCACAGTGAATCTCACCTGAAGTGTAAGGCTGTCAGTACACTAACTTGGTAACCGGACACTTGTACAGGTGTTAGGAGTTGAGGCTATTCCTAGTAACATAGTTTCCTAGCTCTTATAACTTAACACTGTGTGTGTATATATAGGTCAGAGGTCAAGCTCAGTTCTTGTGTGCCATCCACCTTATTTTCTGAGGTAGGATCTCTTATTGGCCTGGAGTTTTGTCTCTGCTTTGCCAACTCTAGGCTTATAAGCACAGACCATCAAGCCTGGTCATTTCACATGGGTTTTATGGGTCAAGTTCAGATCCCCATGCTTCTACAGGCAGGTATTTTACCTACTAAGATATCCCCCAGTCCTATTTTAATTGCAGCTTTCTTTCTGCAGATAAAACCTATGGCTCTTACCATGGTGCTGAAGACTACCCACTGGTGAAATTTCTCCAGGATCCTATTTATGTTGAGGTCTCCATCCTTCACAGAACAGACCCCTCTTTGGAGCTACTGCTAGAGCAGTGCTGGGCCACACCTGGCCCTAACCCTTTTAATCAACCACAATGGCCAATCCTGGTAAAGGGGTAAGTGGGTCCTCCATCTACCTGTGTGGGTCTCCCCAAAAAATCCCAACCTGACTATGTCTCTTGGCTTAGATGCCCATATGCTGGAGACAACTATCAGACTAGAAGGATCGATGTCCAGAAAGCATCAAGCCCCTTTCCTTCTCATCACCAACGTTTCAGCATCTCCACCTTCAGCTTCACAAATGCTGTAAGGGAGGAGCAGGCTTTTGGCGGACAGGTATGATCCCCTTCTGGGTACTTGTAAAGTCTTCCATCCTCAAGACTGTTTACCCTTCCACCACCTCTCTAAGGTGGCTCTTTGAGCTTTGACACTGGCTCTTCCGTGTTGAGGGCAGCTTCAAGGTGGTACCAAGAACGTGAATGCCATCTGTCACCTGGACTCTGGTTTATCAACACCATTGTGACATTAACCTAGCCACATGGCCATAACAATTTATCAACTTTGGAGAGAAATTATGGGGTTGGGAGATGTCTGATCTGGAAGATATCTACAATGTGACATTGACATGTCAACCTCCAGGTATACCTGCACTGCAGTGCATTGGTCTGCCAGCCTGCTGGGACACCATCCTGCATGGCAATCTGTCCTGCTTCCAGGAGTAAGTACCCTAGCTCTCTACAGTCCCATCTAAGTGAATCCTGAAGTCCTACCATGTCAGCGTCAGCCATTAAACTAAGAGCTCATATCATTAATGAAGCTTTCCCCAATACCAACTATACACAGGGACAGAGCTGACTAGATTGCCAGAATTTCTTTTTTTTAAAAAAACCACTTTAAAAAAACCACTCTAATTCAATTTTTACAAAATTTGACTAAACCAGAAGCTAAGTATGGCCCAACATGTGCCTGAGTTGGTTAGCATACATTGTCAGATCCAGACTTTTCAAGCATGGGTTCTGGGATCAAACTCAAGTCCTCATGCTTAAATAGCAAGCACTTTACTGACAGAGCTATTTCCTCAGCCAGCCACTTGTTAACTTTTTCCTTTTGCATCTGGCCTGTTCTCTGAAGTAGATGTCCTGACCATCCTGACCTACCTGAACACAGGTCTTCAATGTTCCCTGGAGGTACACAGGCAGAAGAACCATAAACAAACTTTAGAGAGACCATACATTCTGGAGTTGGCTGGATCCAGACATCCTTATAAATGTAGATATTCTACTTGATCCACTGGCTTGTACTTGACTAGTCTCTAAATCATGATTCAAGAATCTTTAATCCTTAGATGTTTCCTACAAGAAAAAAACTACTCAGTAGTTCAGTGTAGTCATGGTGTAAGACACAAATACAAGCCAATTCTGATTATGCCCATTATTCCCACTTATAAAGACTATATACTGACCTTTTCCAGATCACTTAACTGACAATAGATGTAGGATTACACCGGCTGTGTCCTCACTTCTGTTTGAATGTATAACCTCTGGAATATAAAAGTAACTGAATGCTACTGTCAGTATTTCTAGTTGCAAGGTGAGGGTGGAGATCATTGAAAGTAATCATCTATGTCCAACTCTTGATGAAGTGAAATAACACTTTCATAGAGTTAAACAGAAAATCTTAGACCTGATTGGGTTTGTATTAACACAAAGACTTGTATACGATGTGGGATGGAGAGACGTGCACCAATGGATTTGGCTTTGTGCTTTAGTCCCTTGGCTCATCCTTGAGTCATGTACACAATTAAAATTTTCCAACAAACAAAAGCTCTCATCTCTCCATCAGGAAGAAGAAAATCTGAGCTTTATTTTAAAAACAACACTGCCAGCATATCTAGCAAGGGCCCTGTGATCTTCCTCCAAGCCATCAAGGACCCTAAAGACAAGCTTCATAGATACTCAAGTAAGTGGGAGGATATCAAACTACCAGCTACTTCCTAGCTAACGATCTTGGTTGCTTGTAATCTCAGCATATGGAAAGCTGAGGCAGGAGGATGATTTCTAGTTCAAGGACAGCCTTGGTACATAGTAAGATGCTATTACACTCCTTATCCTTAAAAGTTGCTTTTTTGCCTTGTTCCTTACTGTTCAATGTATGTTTTCCCCCAAAGAAATTGCTATTCCTATAGAAGACTACTTGCTTCTGTCAAGATCTAGAATGGCTTGGGCTAATTCAGCATACACTAATCCACCTTTCCACTCTACAGGCATCTCCACGGATTCCCCTGCTCTGTGGGTTGTAGGACTTTCTGCAATCACAATCATCATTGGCGTCTTGTTAGTATTCTACTTGGCCATCAGAATACTAAGATGAATTACCAAGACCAAGTGTCTCAATAAAACTGTTTACATTCCCAGCATGGAATGGGTTTGTCATTTGGAAGATCACCTGATTCTGAATAAACACCTCAACTTATCTGAGCATCTCACTTTTTTTTTTTTTTTTGCTTAGAGAAGGCATCTCATCTGAGCAAAGAGGAACATGCTGTCCTTTTATTTTAGCTCTCCCACCTAAGCAGAAAATGTTTTTGATAGAACACACATACATACCTAACTAAATATCTTGACAAGATTTTATAAGCTGGAGATAAAGGCTAGTTCTCTCTGCTTGAAAATTCCTATAAGTATCTATGACTCTTGAGTGGTTTTTGGATATTAAGGGGACATCCAGTAGGTCATAGAGGGGTTGAAAGGCCATATCTGTGCGTATCTGCAATCATAGCACATGAAATTCCAAAGATGACAAGTTAAAGGATAGCCTAGGCTACATAAGAGACCCTGTCCTGTCGAGGGGCGTTGGTGGTACACGCCTTTAATCCCAGCACTCGGGAGGCAGAGGCAGGCAGATCTGAGTTCGAGGCCAGCCTGGTCTCCAGAGCGAGTTCCAGGATGGACTCCAAAGATACAGAGAAACCCTGTCTCGGGGGGAAAAAAAGGCAAGCTCTATATTGGATCAACTGCCTGGCCTGTTCAAAGCCATGAGCTTGAAACCTAACAGCACCCCTAAAAAGTTACTATCCCAACTTCTAGAGAGTGACTTAGATCTGAATCAAGACTTATAGTTGTCTATATTTCTAACTACTACAGTTTCTAATCCTAGGGCAAGACCCAGGGTATTTGTGGCAGTAATAAAGATCAATTTGTCTGTAATAAAACTGACTCACCTTGGTCATCACAAGTAGGCAAAATTAAGTGAAAATATATCAATTTCAAAAATCCCCATAGCTGCAAGTAACCATGTTAGCTTCTGAAGACCAGCATATTCTCATAGCAAGTCTTGTGAACATTAGCAGAAAATACTGGATACTACTGCCAGATGTTACAGTGAGTTTTTCTTTTTTGTTCAGGCTGACTTCAAACTCCTTATATATAGCCAAGGTTCACTATAAACTCTTAAATCCTCCTGCCTCCTATTCCAAAATTCTGGGATTACAAGCAAGTGCCACCATCCCATTTCTGCCTTGCTGGCCATTGAACTCGGACCTTTGTGAATTCTGGGGAAACACCCCATCAACTGAGTATATTCCCTGACTTTCATTATAGACACATGTATACCATATATATTCATAAATATCTTAATAGAATTCTAACTAAGAACATTGACAGGAAGCTATCAAAAAGCATATCATGTGAACATTTAGTTCATGCTAACTGGGATGAATGAATATAACCCATAAGTGAGGTTTAAGTTAAAATATTTTATAGCTGCCAGGCATTGGTGGTGCATGCCTTTAATTCCAGCACTTTAGAGGAAGAGGCAGGTGGATCTCTGAGTTCAAGACCAGCCTGTTCTACAGAGTGAGTTCCAGGATTACCTCCAAAGCAATACAGAGAAACCCTGTCTCAAAAACCATAAATAAAATGCTTTATAGCCTAAATTAAATACAATGCACAAAACTCCAGAAAAATGTTACCTAAACTAAGTTCAGTATTCATTTTTGCCCTTGTACCAGCCAAGTCTAAATGTCCAACAACCTCTGACTCAGCTGACAATGTGGAACTGCAGTTTGCTCATTTCGGACATGCTGTCTGTACTATTGACAGGTATTGTTCTATGCACAGGAGAAAAAAATCAAAAAGTCCCCCAGAAACAGCAGTGGAAACACGGCAGGAGATATACACAGAATAAAATCAAGGAAGGGGGGATTTGGAAAGAGCAATCAAGTTACACTGACTCTTTAAGAGAGATAGGTGGACATGGTCAGGTATTCTTGGCTTACCATATAAGTATAGCAACTTTGTATAGGGTGCTCTAGATGGTACTTACCAAGCATGCAAAGAATCTGGACTTCCAACAGAAAGGACACCTGGTCTGGACCAGCCCTCATATGTAGGTCATTTACTGAGGATAAGCTTGCCCCTTTTAAGTAAGGCAACTCATTTAATATGAGGTGTTTACCCAAAGAGGACAATCTGATGCTAAAGACTCCATATGAAACTAGATGGCTATTGCTATCCTGTGGACCTCTGAAGGGAGAGGAGCTAGTTGAATATACACTGTACCAGGTATCCCCCTTCCCATGGTGTTTCGAAGTAATACCTTGTAGAATGTATTTCCGGAGGTTGGTTATTGCTGATGTCCTAACCATGAAATCCTTAAGAATGTTGATCAGAGACAGAGGATACTTATGCAAGGAAATGTGTTCACCATGCACCATTGAGCTAAATGGTCCTTTGCCAGAAACATCAGCCAGGACCCTGTGAAGGTTTAACTTGACACAAGCTTGGGACATCTTAGAGAGACCCTCAACGAAGAAAATGCGTCCATCTCACTGGCCTACAGAAAAAGTCTGTAGGGCATTTTCTTATGATATAGGGAGTCACCCAGCCCACTGTGGTGCCACCCTGGACAGGTGGTCCTGGGTTGTATAAGTAGGCTGAACAAGCTATGAGGAACAAGCTAGTAGGCAACATTCCTCCATGACCTCTGCATCAGCTCCTGCCTCCAAAGTTTCTGCCTTGAGTATCTGCCCTGACTTCCTTCAGTGATGCAGTGAGACCATACAATGAAATAAACTCTTTCCTCTCCAAGTTGTTTTGGGTCATGGTGTTTATCATAACTACAGAAAATCAAACCAGAGCAGACCCACAAGCTTATAAACTCCACAATAAGTCAATACTGTGGAGATAGCCTATAGAATGATATAAAATTTCTTGGAACCATTATCTCATTAAGCCTGCCTGCCCTCATCTTGCTTTGTGTTGGCTGGCCTAGAATTCACTATGTATTCCAAGCTGGCCCTCAAACTCATGACAATTCTCCTATCTTAGCTTCCCAAGTACTGGGATAAAAGGTGTGTGAATAGACACCCCTGAATGATATAAGGTCTCATATACAAAATATATAAAGAATTCAGCATCAAGCTTGGACTGCTGTGCACTATTCCTCTTACCAGAAACTTGTCCTGTTTTTGCTAAAAAATACTGCTTTTTCTGCCCTTGCTGATCTGACAGGGGCTGCAGACATTGTCATAAGGAAATAAATTTGCCATACCCAGAATACCTGATCAGATGACGGGAGAGGTCCTACCACTTCAAGTTTCTTATTTCAAGCAATATGGTTTGGAGATGAAGGGAACAAGGGGATGCCTCTGAGGCAGATTTATAGGAGTAAAATAAAGAATAGACTCTGCTGACACTGGATTAAATGAGTTGCAGCTATGGAGTTTTGCCTTTTAACATTCCATAACCGTTTTCAAAAGTGTCTCTACCACTTTGCATGCTGACTAATAATGTATGCAACTGTAATGTTTTCCATACATTTCTCAGTATATTTTCATGTTTTTATCTGATATTGCAAAATAACATTTATAAGCCATCTTAAATATATTATAAAATGTATAACACAATAAAATTATAATTTATCTAAATATGTGTTATTTGTCTTTTCAAACATTTAATTAAGTTTTGTTTTATGTGCATTTATGTATGTTCTTAGTGCATGTATGCATGTGGCAAGGTGCATGTGTAGAAATCAGAACTATTTGCAGGAGTCAGTTCTCTCCTCCCACCATGTGTATATCAAAGAGAAGTTTCACATTATCACTTGGTAGCAAGTTACTTTAACCACTAAGAGCGGGATAACCCCATGCCCCCAAGGTTTCCAGAGAAAGAGGGAAACTTGCTACCACAGCCTGCCCTGTTGGGACGCTGAGAGGCATTGGAGCAGCTTCCATATGCTTGCGCCGTCCCGGCACTTCTGAAGTTTAGACTCAGTACTCCCAAGATGATAAAGACAGATCCAGATGAAGATAAACCTCTAAAAATTTACACTGTGTTTAAAAATATATGTAGGCTTGTGAGGAAAAAAATAACAGTAGGAAATAGAGTAGCCAGTTGTGGTGGCGACGCTGGCATGATTTGCTGAAATAAAGTAATAAAAAAAGCCACATAAAGATGGAAAATACACAGAGAATCTGGATACTATATGCCATTTTGTTGTCTTTAAATTGTTTGATTGCCGAGGAAAGAATTACTGCTGCTAAAATACATTTGATTATAAATGCTGCTAAATTAATCCAACTTATACAGTTTAAAAATGCTTTGACTTCAGAATTTAAATCTAAGGACAGGCTACTTGGAAAAAAAGTTTTTACTTGTGTTTTCACAGAAAATCAAAAGCTATGGATTCCTTCCAGACTAATATGGTTTGATCAAGCAAGACCCCCTGAAGCTGAGACGAATACAGCCTTACAGACTACAAAAACAAGGACTTGGTCAGGTTTCTATGTTTTATCATGATCCTAATGGTATGGACATCATCCCCAATCAGCAGGAAGCAGTTTAGAAAGAACAACGCCCATATTCCCAAGTATTATTTATAAATGTTTGTTTTCATTTAAATGGGGTTGGTTATAAATGATAATGAGCATAGTCAATTTTTTAAAGAAAGAAAAGGGGAATAGGATATAGGAATGAATACTTTGCATTGGTATAGATTTTCATTTATTGATACAACTTTAAGGTCAATTTTGTAATATGTATATGTCTCCTCCTGTTTAGGTATCGTGTTTATACAGATCTTTTACCTATAATAGTCAGAACTTATAATTAGGTTAGTTAGGTTTTCTAGATATAGAGATGTATTTGAGATGGTTAGGTATTCTTCAAACCTTTCAAAGAATTACAGAAATATGGCATTTAAATGGTTTAGGGTTTTCGTTGGCAATGAGACACAACTGCTCCTGGCACACCAATTCGTCAGAAAGGACATCATGAAGTTTGCTTTCAACATGGCAAGATTAGCCATTTGGGCAAGAAACTGCTCTTGCCTGGACTGCTGGACATACAGGACCCACAAGAAAGTGACTGCTA